TGGTAGATTGAATTTTCTGTCTTTAATGTTATTCACGGACACGGTAATATCGGTCAGAGCCCCAGCAAGACTCTAACCGATAAATTACAAAGTGTAGGAATACATTGATAGACGTATAAACTTTATTTTATCTCGAGTTTGAGAGTAGCTGAACAGAGCTAAAATCAATATAAAACGAAAAAACAATGATCGATATAATAATTTTCTGTGAGAGATATTAATGTTTAGTATATTCCACACAGGTGAAAAATGCTGATCGCGTGCGTTGATTGGCTGGTTCGGAAGTGATCAACTCATACCATTCATCTCTGAGCGGCCGAAGAGACAAGAGCGCGCGTCAAAGACGTGTTTTGTTATACTGACAGAAATAAACTAATTTTTTTCGATTTCTCAGTGTTACATACAGCTAAAATAATTATTTACCTCCACTTCGGCGAATAATTGTTAAATCATGACTGGATATTAATTAGTATGATCGATATGCAAGAATATTGCGTCTAAATTCAGGATAACTATCAGTTCTTCTTCGAGAGTCAGAGTCAAAAGTGTGAAGACCAACTGACGGTATAGGCAGGAAAAATGATTGCATTAAAGGGTATTTTGTTCGAATTTCATTTAACCAAAACCAAAGTTATAATTTCATTGTTTTGAAAAAAGTGAAAGATGACCGGAGCAAATTAAACAGCCCAGCCGGAGTGAGTGGTAAATAAATAATGTTTATCAGGGAACGAGAGCTTTTGTTTCCTTTATTTGATGTTGAAAGAAAACTGCGAAACTAATGAAACTAAACATAATTAAAAAATAACAAAGATTAACTCTGACTGAAAACCCCTGTTCAGAAGAAAATTGGTTTTTTCCTTTTCATCAACGAAGTGCTGTAACCGTGAGAAGCCCCAACTTTTAAGTCACAATGGCCAAAAATTCCATTTCTTCCTGAGTCAGACTTTGTATATATGATTTCGAGTACAATTTGGAATAAATAAGCACGAGTAAATTTTTTCAAAGACTAACAGAATTGCATGAACCCGTAGGGCGAGTGTAATTTGTAGTCTTTGAAAAAAATTGACAAGTGCTTATTTATTTAGTTAACGAAAGGATGGGCTTCAACTTTAAATTAGCATTTTACGTTTTAGCTTAAGAAGATTTGGGGTTGGAACAGAGCCCAGGCACATTTTTCACTCTAGATTTTTTACTAACTGCTGTGCTGCCTTTCACTTATCAGCAAGATGCACATATGTTGAAAATTATATGTTTTGGTTTAATTAACTTTCCTTTATTTCAAACTCATTACAATTAAAGCTTATCTTACAAAAAAACTTCCCATTAAGAAAGAGGAATTTGCTACAGGTAAGAAACGAGCGAGATCACGAAAGTTATTTCAAACTAAATGCGTCAAATCAAAGTCTCTTTTTCATGTTTTCCTCAGCCCGGCAAACGTCTCTGGATCATTAGAAAAAAACCAAAATTCTCTAAGATTACTATTTCAAACTAGCTTCAATCTTCCTTTTCCCGGACCATCTCAGACTCCTTTTCGCATCTTAAAGATTTTTACTCTTCTAAAAAATATGATTTTGGATCCTTCGTCAAAATGATTTTCATCGTGCACAAATATGATGAATGATTCCTCTTACTTTTTGTGATAACTTTGTCAACCTTACCTGAATTAAATGTGTAACAAAGACCCATGGAAGTCAAAACAGGTGTAAAATTCTCATATGTGCAAAGTCCTCCGTCCCAATAGCACTGATGTAAGGTGTTGTATATTTGATGTCCCATGGCAAAATGAAATTCAGTCAGGTTTATACTTTCGTACAATTCCCAGTTGATGGTTTCGCCAGAGACGTCAATTCCACTCGATTTCCTTAGCACGTAATTCAGAATCTAATCAAGAAACGTGTTGAAAAAATTATCGTGAGCGTGTAAAAGAAATCTGTGGATTCAATTTCTTCATTAGATGCTTTATTATGCAATCACCTACAGATAATGCGAAGGCGAACTTAAAGATTTTTTAAGCGTTTACACTCAGAATTCTGCAAAGATAAGCTTTGTCAAAAGTCCCATACAAGAATAAAGATTAATAAGTAAGAATACATATTAATACAGTAAGATATGTCGGCAGACGGTAGATGTTGAGCTCAGTCCTCGACCGTAAAGAGGCTAAACATTGCGACCTAGCTATTCCACACGCCTGGATTCGATAGCAAGCTACAAGAAGTTTTCCTCTTTCTCCTAGATAGGGGTGCTGCGCTGTCCATCACGAGAAACCCTCTACTTAGGCAATCCGTCAAGTTTCCTCGACAGTTTTTTTGCTACCCTTTTATACTCAAGGCGTAAAGATATCGTCTCAAGCATGGACATAACACACTATGACCCGACCGTGAAATAAAAATAAAAAAAGGCTACAAGTTGTGTGGTAAACTTTCATACCTTCTCGTAGCCTGCTTCTCGGACCACAGATCTTCGAAACATGTTAAAGTTACAGATGCTGACCGCTGGAAACTCGGGGTTATCTTCGTAAACCAAGGTTACTTTTGTTGTCACGGGATAGCTGAAGTATTTCGTTAACAACTTTTGAGTCTGCAGCGAGAACCAGCCGATACCGAGGAGAAGAAACAAGGCCCATATAACTCTGCGGGCCAGAGTTCGACCGCCAAACACGTGCTGCAAGCCATGCAGAGTGGACGATTCTACGAAGCCGTTCCACTTTTCTTGTACTGCAGCGGACTGTTTTCCCTGCGGCAACGGAGTTGTAGCCACCTCCGGACCGACCTTGATCGATCTTGGAAGTACTGAAGATGGTCTTTGTTTAATATCAATTTCAGATATTTCGAAATCCTCCATGCTTTGATCTCACGACTGCTTGCTTTCACATGAAAACCATAACAAATAATTTGGATTTAAACCACAGTTATTTTACCTTGATAGAAAATCTCCTAGTACTTTAAAAAAGCACTCATGAATCATATAAACACCTGCAATCTGAAGGCTTATTTCTTATTGTTTCGTAAACAAGATCATTTGCGTATAAATTGCTTCATAGATCTCTCATTTGTCTCTTTAGCACAACAGAGAACTTATTTCATAGAAAATGTTATATTAAATGACTCGTTTAGAAATTATAGCTCTAAAATTACAGCAAAAACTTAAAATCATGTGAAGATCGTATATATTTGTGAAATCGGTGACTTGATGCTTGTACTCAATACTATAATGGAAATAAACCTCACAATATTATATGCATATTTATGAAGTGAATAATTCTTTCATAGTAGTTATGTTGTTGGAGTGTTCATTTTGTTTGCAAAGTTCAAGTAGAAAACTTTCTTTAAATGAGACACTTCGACAAAAAAAGGGAGAGGAAATGGAACCATATGCAGACGCCGAGGTCTGGGACCGAGAAACGTTTTTCTTGTAAGTTTTCAAGCGTTCAGCATATTACAAAGAGCTCATACGACGATGTCAATTACATAATTAACGCCGCATCACCACATAGAAGGTGCACTGACTGAACCCAGCGGTAAAATTTCTGGCATGTACAAGTGGATCAATTTTGGCCGGCAGTGCACTGATTTCTCACGCAAAATTTCAAGAAATAACAAAAGTATATTTGCAACCGCTGAAGCGCAAAATGTACGAGGAAAAAAATTGAAAAAAATCTTTAAATAAAACAAAGATAATTTTATTTAATATATTTTTCTTTCTGTTTGTGTGTGTGCGCTGTATTAATTGAGTTATACGGTTTCCAAACACCGTGACTTACTGACTTGTGTGATTGTATACAACTTCAGAGAGACAAATTCTCTTTTTAAGCTTTGATTACAGAAATTATCTACAGTGTGTTTCGATGATGTTAAGGGGCGCATGGACATTGAATGAACCCTTCAAACTTCCTAAAGTTTTTCGTTATTTGCAAGTTGAATGGATACGGTAAGGGCAAAAATTTCGTTAATATGCGAAATCATAAAAGGTTCCCGGTCTGGATTTCACTTTTCAAACCTCCAGAAAAGTTTGTTCGTGGCAAAAGACCAAACACTGTACATTACTTTAAATTATTATTTTCACAAAAACAGCGTCTTACACCGTACCGAAATGTATACCTTTCCGATCTCTTTCCATCAAACAAGTACTTACTGGAGTTAAGCAGGAACCCTTTAATTAAAAGAAGCTGTTTGCGAAATTTTCGATTTTGTTCGTGATGGGGCTTACTATAATAGTTTGGCGCTCTCTTTTTTTCACTCTTTGATGTTGAAAGTCTGACTTCCTCAGTTATGATGCGGATTTTATTTGTCGGATTTTAATTCGTCTTTCGCCTTTCTCAGAAACGTTATTTTCTAATATCAGATGTTCAAAAAAAGAAACTGATAGAAACAAAATGAGGTAAGATGCTGTTTTTATCAAATATTGCATGCTCAATTATATTTTTAGGCTACACAACAATGGTTTCTCCCTTCAAATTTCAGTTCTCGAATGCTGATACTTCGTTGTAAACAACATCAGCCAAGGTTTTCTTTTCAAAATTTAATTCAAATTTTATTTATGATTCATAATGCTTGGAAATTACAACCGTCCTCTTTTCTGAACCGATTCAAATAGCAAATATATTTTCTCTGGAAAAGAAATCATGAAGTGTGACATTCATCGCGATCTACACGAAGTCACGGTTCCTAACAATAATCTGGGTAATTCACGTATAACTGTGATTAAAATTCTCAATGATTTTATATACAAGGAAAATGTAGCTGAATTTATACCGAGATTTACAAGAAGGATTTTGTATTTTTTCGAAATATGTATTCTGAAAAGTCAAGCACTGTAACAATTATTTATGTTTTGAGTCACCGTCCACTAGGCCATTTCCGAGTTCCGAAAGCGTTAATTTTAAAATTAGGCTAACAGCTAAACCTTTCTTGAAAAATGGGCTTTATATGTCACGAAAAACTAATAAATTTCGAATCCAAGGCCTTACAATAATAAGAGCTTAGGCATCTTTCAGATGTCCAGATGAAAGCTTTCTTATTATAATGTAGAATTATGATTCCGTTCAAATATTGAAATAAAAAGGTAAATGTGACTTTTCAATCAACCTTTCTTGAACAGATTAAAAAGTACGTATAATATGTAATTACATTACTTAAAGAGCAGTCCTTTTTTGCATTATAATACATTTATCACTAGCTCTGTTCTCAAATAAGCGCTTCAAAATCTTAGTGCGCGTATAACACACTTTTTAAAAACTCTACAATATGACACACTTCTCTTGGTCTCTTTTGGGTCCATATTTCTTGATCAAATGCGTGAATACCTCCCCCAGTACTTCCCTATTACTATTCAGCAAAATCAATTTCTTTTCGTTGCTCATTTGGAGAGAACGAAGATAATCAGCTGCTGCATTCATCTGCCGTATCAGTAACGCTCTTGTTTTAGTATTTCCGCTTAATGCATCGTCAATGAGCCAACAGCAAGGAGCGTTAGCTTCGCTAGCATTCCTGTGTAAATAGAAATAGGTAAAGATATAGATCAATGAAACCAACTTTTTCAAAAGAGTTCCAAGGGGAATCCAGCATTTTCCCGGAAATTGCGAAAAGTTTCAGTACACTTGTTTTTTTAAATCGGTTTCATACTTTACTGGGGGGTATTGATAGTGATAACAACTGCGACTAATTTTATCATTCATTTTAAGATAAGCAGGTGGGGCTAAGCTATTTTTCCTCCCATGCTCTCTCCCAATCAAACATATAAAATTAAAACAGCTAGTTAAAGGAACTTAATTTAAATTATAATTAGATAGATACGGGGTAAATATTAAACTAACCCGATTGAGATCTCAGATCAGTAGAATAAGAGTGACCCGCCCTACTGAATCAAAGCCATTGCAATCGCGGATTACTTTCAAAAGGTTATAATGTATGCCGCCGGAACATTTCTTACCTGTGTGGAAATGCCTTAAGTGCATCTTCTCTGTTCATCCCCAGGTCTTTCGTGCAAATGAAGCAGAAGAATCTTTGACATGTCCAACATCTTATAGCGTTACAATCCTCATTCCTCTTCACTATCAGGTCTTCCGCTCGGTCAGTCGACTGGCAAGAGTTGCTGGGACATCGTACAAACATAGCCTCGCAAACTACTCTGCACAATGTTTGGCTTGCTACGGCATCATTAGTTATGTCAGTGATCTGACCGGCTGGACAAATATGATCGGTGTATCCTTCATCTCCAAGTCGTCTTTGACAAGTACAGCAATAAAATGCGCAGCATTCTGGGCACCACGGATAAAGAGTTTCAAAATCGCCGTCATCGGGCCGAAAATCAAAGGAGCATCGATCATTCGGACAAGACCTGGAAGAAGTCTGTCCATCGCAGGAAGGACCTCTTGAGGTTTTCTCCTTTGATGTCGCAGCAATTTCGTCAATGATATCCTGCAGTAGGTAAGGTTCAAGTTGTGATCCACACCCCAAAGGACAGCCAAGGCGCATTGCCAACCCAGTTGGCGGTTTTCCTGTGGATGTGCGTGACTCAACGAATGTTGTGAGGCAAGACAAACAGAAAGTGTGTTGCTGCGCCTCACAGGAGATTATCTGAGACATCAAAGAAGAAGCCATTAATTAAAAAAGGTCGAGGTGCTAATATCTTCTAGTAAAGTGTGCAGACCATAAAGATTTTTTAAATTATTAAAAAAGATCACCTTTCTGATGTGGCAATAATGCACCTATTTCCCTATTGTACTCTTGATAAATCCAAGTTTTTTCAAGTTAGATTAGGAACGCTGATTTCTAAAATATTTCGAAAAAAATATGATTGGTTTGTATGTCTCAATTATTGTACAAACGGATAATCACTTCAAAGATGTTATAAAGGCGTTTTCAAATAATTGTTGAAAGTCGCTCGAGTAATGTGCCCCGCGGACGTACAAAATAGTCTTGGTAATTCATTATGTCATAATAAGGTGAAATAATAAACAAAAAAGTACACATCGATTGCTTGTGCAGTTATCCATAAATGGTCACCCGTTATGCACTATGAGTTGCGCACTCGCTTACGGCTAGTGCACTTGTGCACCAAAACATTACTTGTGCTAATGATTCACAAATGCACTCTGTTTCATGCAATTTCCCACACATGTTATTTGCTTTCGTGACAAAAATAGAGCTACGGTTTCAGTAACTGAGACTGACTGTGTCTTTCCTCGTGAATCACGATTGAAAAGTAGAAAGCAAAATAGACAACGAATCGACTCTATTAATAGTTTGTGTTCATAGCGGCATAAGCCATCGGGTAAACCCCGAAAGATCACCATAATTTTCACTTTATAAAAATTGCATCATTAGAATAATGATTTATTCTTCCCAGTTATAGCCTGTTCAAAAAGGTCTTTCATCCTCTTGTAGTTCATCGTCAAACACGTGAGCGAAATCATAGCTACGTAAGGGGAAATTTTATCGAACGTTCGTTCCTCGCTTGACTGAAGAAAAGCAAAAGGCTTTGTAAAGACCAGGCCAAGGAAAACTATGTAAAACTGTGATAAGATCAAAAATAAAAGCATCATCAAGTTGAAAAGTTCCTGTGGATAATTTTGCGTGGGAGACAAACTATTTAGTCATCCCGGAAAGAGATCAACTTAATCCTTATACTGTGAGTTTGAACAAGAGTTTACGTACCAATTTTAGCAAAATCATCTGTTGCTTTGACATCTAATTCATCATACAATTTAGGTTAGTTTTATAAAGAAATTTACCCAATACCGGTTGTATCGAATATAGCTGGAGAAAATGCCATAGTCTTTCTTACCAGTAAATCTTTCTTATGACAAGTTGCACATTCCTTTGAAGTTGACCCACAGAGGTTATCGGCCATAATTTCACAAAACTGTAACCCTTTTTTTTCCTCACAAACGATTTCGTAGATTCGTGTTGTTTCTGTTGACAATGATCCTGTTCTGACCTAGGCCGTGATCTTTGCCACTTTTTATTTCATTTTTTTAGATAAAAATAGAAACCACGCGTCGAAACAGTTGACGTTGAAACTGTACGTTCACGTTAACGTAGTATTTCGCAAAAGGTGATCACAATTATGATTAAATTTATGACGTTGCATGATGTTGCAAAAAAAAAAAAGACCAAACTTGGTAGCATATCTCAATTATCTAAGGAAAGCTGTAGATGCAAGGCCAAAAAAATGGCCGAGAGGCCATCTAGATGGATTTCAGAAATTCGTTCAAGTTGTTACGCAAGTGTCATGTTCTAAAAGGGTCAGGGCATGCACCATTCGCTTTGTTATCATTAATTAAATGCACTAAGCTTAAACCTTCAAATGAAAAATATTTTTGCCAAAACCGTACCTGGTGACAAACAGCAATGATTTTCACATCCATAAAAATTGGGATCAATTAAAAGTTGATGACATTTGCCAAACTTTGCACAGTCAGGTGCTTCCAGAGATACACGTGCTCAGATAGGTTGTCAAATCTTACAACAGCCATCCAAGCTAGGTAGTTGTAACATGAAAGCTCTGTTTGTTTCCGATAAAGAAAAAATTTCAATTGCAGAAAATTCAGCCGCTCTGATGATCATACAAGCAACAAAACTAAAACGAACCAGTTTTCCCCCGGGCGAAATTCAAATATTTCAGCAATCTTTTTTGTAATTTTTCGGCGATCTTTAGTTGGCCTTCAAAGAGCAGTTGTGCGTCCGAAGGGCTGAGTTGTATTTTTAAGATCGAGATGGCGGGTCACAAAAGAAATAAGGAGTTAAATCAATCAAAATACTACTTACGGAGATTATTTTTTGGTCTTGTCGATTACTTCATTGATTGCTTTCCATTAAATGAAAATCTCTGACTAAGACAATCTCAAAATCACGCCAACGCATTTGGTAATTTTTCAGTTTCGTCGTTAGGATGTTCATTGGTGAATTATTTACCAAAAATGGGAAAAAAAAGTCTCTTCAGTAGATAGCATACCATGAATAAATATAAAAATATTGTAAACAAAAAAAGAATCTCACCCACAACTGTAAGATGTTTTTATTATTTTTTCCGAACACAATGGATGAAAAAAAAATGCACCGCATCGAAAATTACCATTTATATTGCAATGATCGACCGTACGAACTGGCGTACAAACGACTAATGAGACACAACAAAAAAGCCTCCAGCTTGCTTTATTTTTATTTTGTGCTTTTCCTTTACGATTTTGTCGTTGAGTTGCACTTAGAAGAGAAACTTTTGAAGATTACGTTTAGCATGGTTTTTGCACTACATGAAAATTTTATTTTGTACGACAATCACGATTAATTAGAAACTGAAAAGTGGCAGAGATGACAACAATGCAATGTTATCTGCATCTCTTTCCATAGAAGATACAGTTTTTCTCTATTGACACTGGAATCACTCTTCCCACGAACTTATAAGGACCTTCCGATTTTAAAAAAAAAATCATAAACACATTTTACAAATCATTGCAAGTTTTGAAGAAGGACATTTGCATCTCTAAGGGGCGTTCAACAAAAGTAAAATAAAGCAGTATGATGATTAATAATGGTAATAAGACCGAGTGGAGTCCAATTCGGTCTAACATATAGATTAAGCCAAGCCTAAACTTGGAGCTCGCATTTTTTTTTCGCACGTCTCAAGGGCACAACGCCTTGCCCCGGCCAGGACTAGAACCTGGGTCGTCCGACTCGGAGCCCAGTGCACTGACCACTGGACGACTATTGGACAAAGCCGTGGCGTTGGCTTGCCCGCGGTACAATTGACCACGTATGTTAAAAGTAGCACCTGTACGGTCGTACGGTCGTACATCCAAATTTTTTCGGCTTGATAGGTTACTACTATTTTGTATAATTATGGGGCTATGCGAGCTCCGTTGTAATCATTCGATTAACAAAATTGGACGACCACGAAGCGGGAGTCCAATTTGTCAATCATGAGTATGATTACTGACAGAATTGAACAACAAGAAGTCCTGTTACCAATTAATCAAAACCGTTACAATTTCCGAAAACAACAAATACATTTAGGTCAAATATCTCTGGTACAGAAAATGTCTAAAGTAAAAGAATTCCTCCATTTTGGAAATTCCTCAATTTTTTTTTTAGGATAAGTGCTTGTTGCTCTGGTTATTGTGATTAATTCTGTGATTAGTGGATTTGGCTGAGTGGACTTAGTGAGATTGGCTACTTCAACTGTCCGATTACAGCTTCACAGAATGATTGGTGAAAAATTAAGCAGCTAATGCACCAATCGAGTTTGAGGAAATTGTAATGGTTATGATTAATGGGGCTTATATTTTTCACGTCTACCAACAAAATAAGCAATTTTGAATCCCTTCACGCTTTTGTTCGTGTTCTTTTTACAGATTCTTGTCATAATTATGGCCATGGTTTCGTAAAGTACTTTTGGTGGCAGAATAACTAAGTTTTGTGATTAAAGACTGCGAGACATTAAGTCTAACAAGGAAGATATACAAATCCTGAAAAACCTGTATTAAATTTGGGACAAAGGGAGAGAAATTCTTGGTAAAAATCGACAGGGCAGCTTGAACATTGCAAACCGCGTACGATTTTGGTAAAAAAAACTAGTTTGACAGAGAATTTAATATTTTGTAAATTACATTTTCGAAATCTTGCTGTTTGTTCGCAGGAGTCAGCTTGAGTATATGCGTAATGCGAGCGTCTGCACCCTATTTTGAATTACCTTCGCACGTTTAAAAGATCACAAAAAACCCGTTGTTAAGTACCAACCTTAAAACGTTGCCAGGAGACAATTAATAGAATCCTGAAGTAGCTTAAAAACCATCTTTAACAATGATGTTAAGGAGTTTATTTTAAGGTTATTTTTTAATCCAAGCAGAGTTATAACTGTAAAAGTGATATTTATAGAACCAATCTTTTTACAGAATTTATAAAATGAATGCAAATCTATATTTGAAACTGATTTATTTCCAGTCAGATTGTCTATAGCCTATATTCGGAATCATTTTTAAAAATATACCTCTGTCAAGATTACTGAAAAGATCTTTTGCTAATCTAATCTCATCAGATGATCTGCCTGTTATTTCCTATTTATCAAAGTATATTTTTTATGAGCAATCATGCTGTAAGGAATGAATTTATAGTTTACGTCTGTAAACAATTACATGTTCTTTCCAGGTGTAAGTTTTTAAAGAAAATGTGGCGCTGTGTCGGTTGGGGTATTTCAAGATAATTTTGTTGTATCAACTGAATTAATTATGTAAATTGGCCACCGTAGAGATCGTTTGGAAAGCTGAAGCCTTGAGCGACAGTTCTTCGTTAAAGCGAAATGTGTAGTGTCACCGTCTTCATTTAAGCGAAGGCTGATGCTCAAAACATCAGCTTTTCCAATTCCAGAACGGCTTTTATCTGCTTTATTAACTTTCAGTCAATATCAACCATCAAATAACTTTTTGGCGATGCAGCACAGCAGCTCTTCAGGAAACTAATCTCTACTCCGTTCATTTTCAGTGCCATGATGGGCACGCGGCTGTCTTAAAAACAAGTCATGCCAGCATTTTAGTTGCTGACAGCTTGCCTCATAGCTGAAATAATAAATATTATGTGGCATGTATAATAATTATCCCGGGAAAACCTCCACGGAAACTCTACATTTACTGGATTTTCTTAGATCGAACTGAGACAGAGCGTAGCTTTGAGACGCGTTTTGAATCCTCGCAATTTTATCGAAAATTATTTTCGAACCATGACTGAGATGTTCACGCAACTTAGGTTTCTTGAAATCAAGAGGTGACGAGTATTCGAAAAAGAGAAAACGAGAGGAGACAGGCTCTTCGCCTAAGATTGGCCGAGCAGGGATTGAGTCGGAAAGATCACAAAAACTTCAGAGTGGCTACTAAGCTGTTCAAGTATATCCAAGATGGCGTCGTCAATGGAGGTTCAAACTACTACTTCGAAGGAATCAGAGACTGTTCTGGCGAGTTCTGGTTCGAGTGGAAGCGTATCAGTGGCTCTTCATCCCTTAGTAATTATGAATATATCTGAACACTACACCAGAATAAAGGCGCAGTACGGAGAACCCAACCCACAAGGTGATTTGTTTTGTTTGCTGCTTGCAATATTTTCCCGCAAACCGTCTTGGCTTGTAACAGTCTTTCGTTTTCGACAGCATACCTGTTATCTTTCGTTTAATGTAAACCTGTTGCAGTGTATAACTAGCTATTTTTATTTAAATGTTGTAAGTCTGTATTCAGACCTTTTTAATGATTATCACCTCATCTTTTCCAGTGATAGGAGCACTGCTAGGGACCCAAGATGGCCGTAAGATTGAAATTTTCAACTCCTTTGAGCTTCAGTTCGATGTGTTTGATGACGGACAACTTGTGATAAATATAGAGTACTATCGAAAAAAAGAGGAACAGTGTGAGTTGCATGGTGGTAGTTGTACTCTGTGGAAGAAAACGTTTTAATTTCATTTAAGTATGATGCGCCCAACAGAGTTGCGTCGTTTGTTGTCAAGCGAACCTTGCTAAAAATTTACTGGTATGCAAAAGCTGTGTAAAGTTAACCGCTGTGAACAAATAAACACACATAAAAAAGACACTCATATTGACAGACATTCAGTGCAGCTTAATCACCAGTTTTTGCTGGAAATACAATGCCCATTGATTTAAACAATGACCATTCCACAATTGAGAAAACAATATGTCTAGCTCATACATACTAATTGCACAAATTCATCAATTCTTAGATGCATACTTATGCTTGTCTGTAAAGACTAGTATGCGTCTGGTCTTACACATGTACCATGCACATCTATTATGCATACATGTATTTTGGTCTCCTTATCTTTGAGTTGATCTGTAGAGGAACACAAGCCATTCTATAACTTGTTCTTATTGCCTGACTGGCAATATATTCTTAGTTCACCAGGTTTTTAAGAATTTGGATTTCCTTGGTTGGTACACCACAGGATCTAGTCCCACTGAGAATGATATCAGGGTACACAAACAGGTATTGGAATTATGGAAATGTCAATTGTGAAAATGTATTGCATTTTTCTTCACATGTATATTCAAGAATTTAGACTGTAACTCATTGAAAATAAATCTTGGAATAATAGAAACGTCAATTGTGAAAATGTTATTTTTTCTCCTCAGATATGCGAGATAAATGAAAGTCCCTTATTTCTGAAACTCAATCCACTTGCTAAGACCAATGATGTAGGTTTGCAATAATGATTATTACTTAGATTTCTAAGGGACTAAACAGGACTAAAGGGGAAACTATTTCTGTATGATGTTCATGCTGAACTTTGTAGATGACCTTTTAAGGCACTTTGTCTTATGTCTGTCTTTTAATCAATTTTTTTTTCAGTTACCAATCAGCTTATTTGAATCTGTGATTGATATTGTTGAAGGAGCAGTAAGAATTCATTCCATTTTGATAAAAAATTATTGCTTAGTACAGTACCTAATATATTCATGTTTATTGCTAGCTCTTAGTTGGTGATCATTTCCCTTATTCTCATGACCTTAATGTGTGTTTCAGGGGTGATATTGTAAGGAGAAATTAGATGTTAGTCACCTTTAGGAGTCAAAGGGTTAAGATACCAAGAACTTAAGAATTATTGCCTATAAAGAGGAATTATTGAAAGAAGAAATCTCGAACATATTACAATCCCATTTAAGTTAACAATGGATTCTTTTGGCCTTTGTAGTTGCACTTTTTCATTCACGTTATTTCAAAGCTCTATCTCAATGAGTAACAACTAGAAAGAGAAAATATTTTGTAACAGAAGTAAAGAAGGAAATCTGATGGAAAATTGCACAATTTTGAAAGCACCAACTGTTGTATGAAAAAATTGCTTTGATAATGACTGAAACACTATTAAGTAAAAAGCAAACATGTGCTTTACAAAGTGAGCACATTGTTTTCATGCTTTTGAAAAAGGTGGCAGTGAAAAGTATTTTAAATGTGTGTTAGCATCTTCTATTGCCTCCCTCTAAAGATGTTTTTACCATCACTCACTTTCAGACACGTATGTTGTTTGTGGAAACTCCCTACACCCTAGCTACGGAAGAAGCTGAGAGAATTGGCGTGGATCATGTGGCCAGACTATCAAACACTGGCACAGTTGACAGCTCCACAGGTACTTTTTATATATTACTTTATAATCTCGTGTACTTATTCTCCATGCAAAGGAAGAAGGATGATTTCGATTTAATATTCCAGTGGCTGATCCAATGGCTATTTTTTTGTTTTCTAGTGTCGGAGCATCTCCTAGCTCAGTATAATGCAATTAAGATGTTACACTCCAGGGTCAAGATGATTTTAGAGTATGCTAAAGCAGTGAAAAATGGTAACACCCATAGTCTATTGCTTTGTGCTTGAAGGAAAATGCCAACCACTCTAAATTTGTCACTTGTGATTGTAAAATCTTTCCACAACCTTTTTCTTTTTTTTTTCTTCTCAGGTGAAGCACCGTGTAACCATGAAATAATGCGTGATGCGTTGAGTCTTATTCAGAGACTTCCTGTCATGAAGACTGATTTGTTCAGAGAGGACTTTTATAATGTAGGTTGATTGTCATTCTATAAAGTTTTGTGTGTGGCTGTTAACCCTTTAATTCCCAATATCCAATTGTCAATTCTCCCCTTTAGCTGCTACACATTTCTTTGTTAGTTATGAGGATTTGATGATAGATCAAGATAACAACTTCTACCTGATAAGTTTGGGTATTTTCATTCCCTTTTTGCTGGATAATGTTGGGATATTATAGGGAGAAGTTACTTTTTAATCACTTGTGGGAGTTAAAGGGTTTAGTAATAATTTCTTCCACAGAAAATAATTGATTTGGTTGTGTAACTCTCTTTTGCAGCAATGTAATGATGTTATGTTGATGTGCTATTTGTCTACAATAACAAAAGGAGCCAATAGTCTTAATGAGGTAGGCTGAAAAATTAGACTATGTCATGAGTTGCTCAATCTGGCGGTTTTGAGGCATTTACTGAAAAAGTAGGTGTCAGGAGCAAAAAAAAAAACATTTTGCTGAGAAACTGCCTTGTATAATCCACAGAATTTTTTTTACACCCTCAAACTCATTTTATTGCCAAATCTTTCCAGCCAATACTAAAAAACCTTGTCATATAGAAACTGCATCACATGGGCAGAAATCCAAGCATTTCTAAGTGAATAAAGGGGGTAAGTTTCTAAAGAAACTGTGGTGCTGCATTGGTGGGAGAGTATAGCAGGTAATTTATTGTAAACAACTGAATTGAAAACATAAATTGGCCACCGCAAAGAGTAAAAAAGCTGACATATCAAGTAGTAGCCCTTCGTTACAGCGATTGGGATGCTTGAAACATCAGCTTTTTTACTCTTTACTGTGGCCAATTTACATTTTCAACTCAGTTGTTAACACTAAATTACCTGCATTTCTAAGTAAGCTTTAGCTGTGGGTAGTTATTCAAAACAGCCATATTCTTCGCCATTTAAACCCTTACGTCAGTATTCATATTCTCTATACTCTTGTCTTTACATTTCCTTTTATACTCACAAGGAGAATTTGTTTAACAATCAGATCTTAAGCTAGCAATCATTTACTTTATTCTCAAGACCTTCATGAATGTTCCAGAACTATTAATGTAAAGAGAAATTAGATGCTGGTCATTCTTAGGGTGAAGGGTTAACCTTTGGCATGTGTGAATCCTTTAGAATCCTTTTTTTGTTTACAGGAACAGTATTATCAATATTTAACATAAACATTTTTGGAGAGACTTAGAACTAGTGCTGAAGAACTATCAATTTAACTAATTGTGGTCCTTCTTTTTCAGTTCATTAACAAGTTCAATGTGGTTTATGACCGGGGAATGGGAAGACGAATGAGAGGAACACTATTTTAGGGTCTTAAATACTAGATTTTCAGACACAGTATTGTTCACTAAAAAAAAACCCTTACTGGAAACTAAATTTAAAAAGTTATTGGTTTACAATGTGGTAAAAAAGCAAACCAATAAAACAGTTATTGGCTGTATATAAACTTAGGGCGACACACACATTAGGTTAGCCCCGATGCAAGATTCTTAAGACTTTCAAATATGCAATTTATATATTACATGTTTGATCTGTAACTTACTAATATCTCTACAAGTTACAACAACCAACAAAGTCTGTTGATTAGCATCATTCATTAACTTTCTTGTAAATATAGTTAATTAATTTGTGAAAATAAATGGTTTTGATTTACTTCTTTGCAATTTTGTTTTATGAACAGTTCATTTGTTCAATTCAGTGTTCTGATTGACTTTTATTTCCCAGAAATTTCAGCCAGAAATGCAAGCTATGCACTTTGGATGGAAACTGGCCAACTCTCTTAATATGTAAAAAAAAAAATTGAAGAGAGAGCCCATTCCCTATCGCCACCATCACAATGTACATGCACGGATTAAAATGAACCATCTTGAAAAGATAGCTCTAGTGTGATTGTCATGTGCATTAATTGGAGAGCTTAAGCAGAGATGTTTTTTAAGACACAGATGGCAATCAGGAGAAGAATAACTAAAATGACTGTATATCGACCGTACAGTTGCCGCTTTGGCATTTTAAACCCCAACCAAAACTATAACAAAATTCTTGAATGTGATTGATCATCGACAGCCCGATTTGTGTACGCGTCATGCTTCTAATTGGACAGTGTAATAGAACAGTTAAAGGGACAGTTAATACGTCATGCCTGTGTAAGTGGACAGAACATGTCAAGTGCACTTGCTGTTGTCTCGTATTTCTTCGAGTTAACCGTTGATTTTTTTTGTTTTTTCATGCAAATTAAAACCGATGTCTAGTTTCTTTCTCAAATTTTGTCATATTTTTAATTAATTGGTAACAGAACTTCGTGTCGTCCTATTCTGTCTGTAATACTATTGATTGACAAATCAGACTCCCGCTTCACAGTCGTCTGATTTTGTTAATCACTCGTATGATTACGGACCGAATTGGACTCCACTTAGCCTTACTACCAAAGAATATTGAACGGACCAAAAAAATTCAACAAGATCTTTTAACTTCCGGTTGCCGTGAGGAGTGATTCGCTCCAGTATTTCCTCGGTTGCGCCTAACCGAGGACTTGGTAAATCCATCATGGCGCCCGAACCAGATTTTATAATACCTCCATATTACTCACCTTTTTATGCCTGATCGTACATCATTATCCCAAAAGAAACTATGAAGAGGTCAAACCCCGACTATTCCACTACTGTCGTGGAAGAAAAGCCCTTAGAGACGCTAGATTATGGCACTCAAAGTCAGCCAGTGCTGAAATTGAAGAGGGGTCGACAAGCTCTCGATGCTTCCAAGAGGCTCGCGTTTGAACTATCACAGTTTTCTACACAACAAGAAATCCTTCAAACTCTTGTAGATCTCGAAAAAGAGCTTCCTTTGGAGTCTCTAGAAGTTGTGGAATTCGTCATTAGATCTTTGTGGGAGAGGTTTTACGAGACTGAAGACGCTGCAGTTAGAGTGAAGGTCATTTCTTTGCTTGGAAGTGTGGCGAGATTTCCCGGAGTTAATGTCCATGCGATCGCTGAAGAGTTGATCAAACTACTAAACGCAAAGGATGAAGATAAGACTAAAGGTATAAGTCTTGGTTGTGTCAAAGTATTACTTGGTATTAGTGATGGACCAGAGGTTGACTGTTTCATTTCTTTTCATGTGTACGTTAAAAGTCAAGTATCGGGGCTGGCAGAACAGGAATTTTAACAGGGGGATAGTTAGGGGTGGAATGGGTACAAAACCAGTGCTAGAGGTATGAGGTGCCGCTTTCCATTTCCCTGGCTCTGCTTTATTTGAGTTGTTTACTGGTAAGAGTTGTCTGTCAACAGAACAGTCTGCAGAGTGTGGTATGAAAAGGAAAAATTACGCATGCATTTATCATACTCTGCAGACAGGTCATCAGAGCCTCATCTGTATACAAATTGTCTTTTAAGCTCACCATGTCCTGTAGCAACCTATTGTTAGAGAATCCAATTGACGTATGAAAAGTAGTTGGCCCAAGTGCCTTTGGATACTTGAATATTTATGTTTCCTAAGCTCAGATAGCTCACTAAAGAAAGTAAAATTTACCATAAAAAACAGAAAGGGTAATATTGGAACCTCAAGATTGGAAACACTACAGATAAAGGTACAAAACTCAGCACAGTTGCCAAAACACCAGCACTGTAATGTACCTGATACACATCATACATGACTGCAATAATGACATTACACAGCCTTACTACATTCTTGTATGTAAGTTTTGGATATTAGCCACAGGTTATGGCATGACTATAATGTCTTAGTATGTTATGTTATTCTCCTTGAAATGACCAAGAACACTGATCAGCACCACAAAGCCTGATCAGTCCTTGACACCAAAAAACTATGTGGTACAACCTCAGGAAACAATCCATATGTTGAGAAATGAACAGTATTTTCTGTATTTTTTTCTCCTGGCAGATTCTCAGAAAGTACGCACTCAAATATTCAACACTCTTTTAACACTTGGCAGACTTTTAGATCAGGAGGTAGGATGTTATTATAGCTAGCCGATTGAATTAAACCTTTAACTCCCAAGATTTGACTGTTAATTCTCCTCTCTAGTTGTTACACATTTCCCTGTAAACTAGTTACAAGAATATGATATTAGATCTATAGAGCAACTTTGACAAGTTTTAGTGGTCTCGTTACCTAGTTGCTGGATAATTTATGGATATTATGGAGAGAAGTTGCATCTGGGGTCACTTCTGTAGTAGTCAATATGATTTGTACTTTTTTAAGTTAAATAAATTATTTTATAATCATCATCTTCATCAACATTATAGCACTTTTAAAAAAAAGAATTTTATATGCACCTTTTTCCTCTCTTCATAGGCAAAGATCATTCACCACATTGAGAAGGGTGCCATTGAGGTAAGATCTTGTGAAAAATTTTTCAGAAGTATGAGACAAGAGCACATGGAAATACCTGACCGAGACATTTTTTAATCTAAACTATGGCAAGAGTAGAAAAGGAGTTAGTAAATAATAAACAGTTACCTTCCTCACCCATTCCTATAATGCCAGCAACACACCTGGTGGTTTTCACAAATCACTGCCATTGGCTTATAAAATCACTAGGTGTATCACCGGCTTAAGTCATTGGTTGTGATGTCTATCAGTGAGAGAGGATCATTTTTGAGAAAATAGTTTCACAAGACAGTTCATGTTACTCATTTAAAGAAAGAAAAAGGCAAGGTAACATTTGTAGCCATTGCAAGCTCTCAACTCCTTGTTACATTTATCATGTGTTATTGATTTGATTTAATTTTTTTTTTCTTTTTCTCTTCTAAGCATCTAAAAGACCCTCATTTTTCAGTGCGCTGCCAATGCCTTTGCCTGATTGGTCATCTGAATCAAGGATTAGATGGCGGCCCAAGCAAGTTGGAGTCTGAACCACAGGTTGGGGCACAGAACTTGTTAGCAAGTTTTGCAAAAGACAGTGACCCCAGAGTACGAACAAGTGCTTTGCAAGCCTTAGTAAGTTTACATTCATTCAAATTGTTCCAAATCCACAATAGATTATCAATAAATATGACCTTGAAAGTTCAGCAAAAAAATTGATAAGGAGATACCTCAGAAGCCTTATTTCATAATGGACTAGCTCCTTAACCCCTTAACTCCCAGATCAAATTTGTAATTCTCCTCGCTGTCAACCATACAATTCTAACAATGTTAGTACAGAGAATTTAATATTGGATCAACTAACTATCCTTAAATTGATATTTTTCTTTATTCTCATTTTTTATCTAGTTGATATTGTATTGATATTGTAAGGAGAAATTCTGTCTTGATCACTCATGGGAGTTTAAGGGTTAAGAATGACAAAATTAATGTCTTCTTTCAATATCAATACATTCTCAAGCTCAAAGGTTATGAGAAGAAAACGAAATATCGACCAAGAAATAACTTAATACTCAATTGTCAGAGCCTCTCTCTTTATGCCCTGTTGCTGACAAGGATAATTTGTTTAACAAGTATGCGATCATTTCCTTTATTCTCATGACCTTAATGTTTGATTCAGGGGTGATAATGTAAGGAGAAATTAGATGCTCGTCACTCTTGGGGGTCAAAAGGTTAACTTTTAAAGGAAAATATGACAAACAGTGCAGAGAGTTGAAATTTAGATTTTGAGAGTGAAAAGGTAAAGATCATAAGATGATCCACACGGAGAGTGAAAAGTGAAAACTGCATGGATTGATCTTCTTTTTAGCTAACACTGCATGACAGAGGACAGAAACTGGACATTGCAGTTTATGATCAGGCATCGCTGGCTTTGAATGATGACTATGAGGATGTGCGAATGGCAGCAATTAAGTTAGTTTGGGTTTTCAGTCAGGCTGATCCTGAAAGGTTTGTCTTCTTTAGATATAATTTACATCCTTCAAAGTTATTTGCTGAGTGTTTTACATACTGTAGAAGGAAGTTCTGCATAGCCTTGAGTATGTGAATAAACGACCCGAAGAGAAATTATTTGTAACTTTATCGATCGATTTATTAGTATATCTTTTACTTGATACCTACTTTTTCAACGAATCGCAACCAACATCAAAGGAAATAGAAGTTGATCGGAAATGCAGTGTATATTAAATTTATCACCGTGAAAAATTTTGCTTTATGGTAAAAAAGTATTTGTGTTGATAATTTTCTGACATCGTCTCGCAATAGGACTGTAAAATTACCGTCATCTGATGAGGTTCGCCTGGTGGACGATGCTTTTATAAAGATCTGTCACATGGTGAATGATCTCTCCATGACTGTCCGAAGAGAGGCCACTGGTTTGCTTGGCTCTCTCCATCTCGTCAGTCAAAAGTTTCTGGAACAGACATTGGATAAGAAGCTCATGTCTCATCTTAAGGCAAGTCACAGTGATCAATGAACGCATTTTACCTATTTAGAGAATTTTCAATTGAGCGTCGATAAACCAAAACTGAAAAAATTACAACTACCACTCAAACGAAGGTTATCATCATCAGTAAACTATTAGAACTCAGAGTAAAAGGAAGTAATCTTCTTGAAATCGCAGAAACGTTTCGTCAAATTTCGGATGTAATATAAAAATCGAAAGAACGGTTTTCCTTCGGTTCCTTCCGCTGTAAGATCTTCTAAAAATGTATGATATTTTTGTCTTCGAAATTCAGAGAAAGAAAACGGAACACGAAAAGCGAAGAGAGATT